TCTGCTTCGTCTTCAGGAGCAGCACCTAATGAGGGCTGTGCTATGGCAAATAGCTGTGCTGGATCAGCTGCCTCCCTGAACAAATTCCTGCTATAAATGCGTAGTTAGTGCACTAAATACACTGTAACTGACCTTCCAAGTATAGTTTTGTGTGCACAAAGGGATGGTCTATTTTCAGCAAGGCAGTAAAGTTCAGCCTGATACATTTTTGCGTGCCTATGCCTCTGAACTCCTGGTATTCATTAAACAGATGGCACAGAAGGGACTTGTGTCTGTCCATTGCTATGCACAGCAGTGTTTGCAAGCAGAAACCTTAAGGGGGAAATGAGGAAAATGGGAGCTTGGCTCCAGCGTTGGCTGCATTAACCCTCACAGCGTTGAACCAGAATTCAAAGCCAAGATGTTTCCATAGCTGCTGCTGGAAGAGGGGGACACGTCCTTCCAGAATCAACTTGAGAAAGCCACAGGTTCTTTTTGAACCAGATCTTCAGTTACGAGCACAAAGTGTTCCTCACTGCACGTCAACCAGTGCTTTTGTAGACAGGCTGAGGCCTCACTCGTGGCTTCTCTCCCGAGCCATGGGCATAGAGCCACTCTGAGGATTTTCTTTGTTGCTCTTAGCTTGAGAAACAGGAGTCCTTTGCTCCATGGAGGAATATTCAGAGGTGACATCAAGCTGTGGACAGTTGTGCTCCATCTTCAAGCAGTGCTGGTGGAAGAGAAGGTCTCCTTGGCCAGACAAGCTAATGTTATTTGAATGACTAAGGTGAAATAGTTGCTTTTGTTGTTGTTGTTTTTTTTAATGTGAAGTAGTTTAGGGAACTGCTGTACCACCACACTGCTGATCATAGAGCAGCTCTTGTAAGTCAGAGAGGGGAGAACAGTGCTGAGCAATGGAAAGGAATAATCTTCCATCACTGCATCTGAATCTGGAGGCACCCATCTGTCAGCAGATGTATTTGTGCAGCTTCAGAAGGACCCAAAAGAAATTGCTGCCCTAAAAACTTCCATCTTATGCCTCGTTTGGGTCCCATAAATATTCACTGCCCAACAAGGTGAAAAAAAGGCTGAAGAAGTTCTCCAGTGCTGGCAGCAGTCCGGCTAGAGCAGTAGCCTGGGCTGGGCTCTGGGGTGTCTTCCAGCAGCATTTTTGTGTTCTTTAATATCCTCTCTAGCTTTTATTGGAATGGAAACTATTTCATCTTCACCCGCTACAAATCCAGACTCTTTCTGAATGTAGGGTGGATGTACTTACTGGAAAACCCCTCCATGGTCCGTGTGACTGCTGAAAGCCAGGCTGTGATCATTTGCACAGATGGTTGTGCCAGGGAACAGTCACCTGAGCAGCTTCGTGGAGCAGAGAGAGCACCGTGCTTTTAAAATCTCCTTTAAAGTCGCTTATTGAGCAGAGATACAAAGTAGGAGAGGAAGGGCCGAGGCTTCTGTCTGTGCGACAGGTTGGTGCCCACCAAGGGGACGGCTGTACTGACCACAGGGGACTGGGGGATGTCAGTAGTCACCATGGCTCGGGCTTAGAGTCAGTGTTTAGGATTTCTTTTGAGCCTCTGTTACGCCCAGAGCTTCCCTGAGGCGCCTGTGCCTAAAATTTCCATCTCCCTGCTGCAGCCTCTCCCCCCACCCCCAGGCTCATCCAACCTCAGGGCTTGCCTGCCAATACCAACCATGTAATGGACTGCTGTGCGCAAAAATATCCTTTTAGCTTGAACTCTTCTTTTAGAATTATTGACAATCTCAGCAAATGCAGCAGGCTAAGAGACCTTGTGGTACCTTTGCAAGACCCCAGGGTTGTGTTTTCTTGTTACCAATCAGGCCAGCATGGGAGCAGGGCATCCATCCAGAGAGCTGCTGTGAAGCCAAGTGAGCGTGATGGGAATTGGGTACTTCAGGAGATGAGAATTTGGTGGGTAATGGTCCCTGTGCTGCTTTTCCAGGGGAATTCTGTGTGCGAGGCATGGCTGAGCTATGAGCAGATTTCGTTCATTTCACTTTGCACCTAAATGAAGGACACAACCCGAATGCCTCCAGGTTGGTGTCCAATTGGAGAGGAGCACGAGGGTGACAGTACCAGTTCTTGCTGTATGCAATTGCTTTTGGCCCACGCCTGCCTTGCTCTCCTTCCTGCAGGCTGCTTCACTACTTCAGAGGCCGACACCACTTGGAGGAGATCATGTACAACGAGAACATGCGGCGCTCGCAGCTGCTGATGCTGTTCGACAAGTTCCGCAGCGTGCTGGTGGTCACCAGCCACGAGGACCCGGTCATTTCGGTTTTTCAGTCCCTCTTGAAATGACTGCTAGTGGAAACTGCCGCGCTCTCGATATTCTGCAAGTTGCCTAGAAGAGATGAGTCCAGTTCCTTCTCAGCACATGGCGTACAGCAGGCTCTCTGCTGCTGTGCCTCCATTTCACACCTCCCCGTGCGACAGCTCAGTTCTGTGTGAGGGGCTGCGTGCTCCTTCCCAGCCTGGATTTGTGCCGTGCCACACTCACAGCACAGGAGCTGCTGTCTCGCAGACCTTCCCTGGGACTGCTCCTTCACTGGGGCTGTTGAGATGGGTGAGAGTGGTCCGTGACTTCTACTGGAGTGTTACTGAGCTGTGGGTGGATGCTTCGCACCAGAGCTGCTTTCCCTGCTCTCCACCACCACTGAGCAGTGGGTGTTGCTCATGAGCAGCCTGTCCTCACTGCTTGGCCTCTGCTTAAGGGCAGAGTGAAGTTGGCCTGGCTCTTAGGGGAATGATCCTGGGTACTGAGGAATTAATTCTGTCTGACCACTGTTATCCAGAAGCAATGGGGACATAAATAGGAATGCAAAGCATCACAAGTAAACAGCTTTGTGAATGAAAATGATTTACTTGCCTTGTTACAGCTTTCCTCTCCCCAGGACCCTTATTACAGAATGTCTGTAGGGGCACTGCTGTCACCAGGCAGCCCATTTGTTAGCTGATCTGCAGGTCTGTTTTAAATTGTGGTGGGAGGAATTTGGTTGGCTCTGAGGAGGACTGAACCTGGCTGGCTGTGCTGCAGGTGCAGCATTGTATCAGTTCCCCAAAGCTGCAGATTAATGGCAGTCATGCTTGGCCCTCTGGGGCCTGTTTTGTTGCTCTGTCCCACTGTGGTTGCCGGGAAGCAGATTAGGGAGCTGGCGTGCACTAAAGCTGTCCGGATGAAGAACAAGGTACAGGGATGTACATGGCTCTGCTTCCTGATCTGGTCCAGCAATCTTCATTCAGCTATGCCAAGGCTACAACAAGAGGCAGCAGCACAGACAGCTGCTACTCTTTTTGGCTGCATCACGAACATAAGCCAGCTATGATGGTGGAACAGGGCTGGGCTGCCTAGCCAAAGCAGCTGCACTGGCAATTGCTGCTCTGTTCAGGAAGGGAAGACCAAGAGAGAGCCCAGGGTGTCTGCACAGCTCTGTACCCGAGGAGGGTGGGGAGATCTGCCATGGTGCTGATGGCTTCCAGGGCTGCGTGGTGTGTGAACACAGTCAGGTTCCTCATTTAGACTTTCCCTTATTGCACACACAAGGTGGAGCTTTTTCCCAGAGCTGCAGAACTGTGAGTGGAGCTTCTCTTGCTCACACAACTAGAGGTGAAAATGTGAGCATCGAACAACTTACCTGCAAGGAACAGCACAGGGCCTGCAGCGCCCTGGATACCGGATGGCAGCTACTTCAGCACAGTCCCTTCTGTGAGCCTTCCCTGCAGCTGCAAGCAGGGATGAACAACAGTGATGTCTGAGCTGGTCAGCACAACACCGACCCACCCAGTCCCCAGCAGCTGCATCTGAAGGTGAGTTAATGAGCCACACATGGCACAGTCTGTTCAGAACGGGTGGGTCAGGGGGTTTGAAAATTTGAGTTTTTTCTTGCACAAGAATCCCAAATGAGGAGAGAAATCACTGTCTGGAATGGGCAGGACAGCTGCCTGCTGGTTGTCACCCAGCTGTGAAAAGACAAAGCTTATCCAGGGGCTGCTTGGGGCACAGCACAGTGATGCCACCAGTGTGGCAGTGGATTATTTGTGCAAGATGTGGCTTGGTGCAGCACAGCACACAGCACAGGTAAGGCAGGGAGCACCTGTCTGTGGAGAAGCGTGCAGCTAACCTGAGATCCAAGCAACTGTTTGGCCTAGTTGCAGGGCTTGGTGCCACACGTGCAAGGCAAACTGCCAGCATGGCTGCAATTCTAGGGATTCTCCCCTGAATCCTATTTTTTCCCTCCCTCTGTACTTCATGGCAGGCTGCAGCTCTGCAGAAAGAGATGTGAGGCAGACATCTCAGCATTGGTTCTTTCTCTGTGTTCAGGCTCCCACACTCGTAAACTTTGAACTGGTCTCAAAAGCAGCTGGAAAAAATAAACAAAGCAAAAAACTCACTGGATTTTATAGAACAGTGTAGGTTGGTCAGGGTCTCTAGAGATCTTCTGTCCAAATTCTGCTCAGAGAAAATGTTACATCAGGTCAATCAGGAGCTTGTATGGTGGTCTGATTGCTCCCAGTTCCAGCATTTGACCACCCTCATGGTGAAACAGTTTTCCATATAGCTAATGAGAATTTCCTGTTTTCTATCTTGTGCCCATTACATCTCATCCTGTCCCTGTGTACCTCTGACAAAACTCTGGCTCTGCCTTCTCTGCACCCTCCCACTAGGCAGCTGTAGTCAGCTGCAGGATTCTTCTTTCTCCTCCTCATCTCCAGACCGATCAAAACCAGCTCTCTCTGTTTCTGACAGCCCTACTGCCACCCACTCTTTTGGCATTCCACTGAAGAAACCAAACCTTCTGGCCCCTCCTGGGGGCCAGCACAAAGAGGAGCAACACAGCAGGTCACAGCGGTGAGCTTTCACTAGTCATCCACCTTACCAGAGCCTGGATCCATTCACAAGAGAGAAAGTGGCTTTCAGTGCTCAAATCCAACCTCAGTTCTGGCTGGAAGATTCATTCTAGTCTGGCCCATGAATAAAATTCCACCTTGCTGCAATAAAGTTATGTTTATTGTTAAAAACCTCCAAGCTGCCCTTGCTGCTGCCCCAACATGGCTTGAGGCTCTCCAAAAGAGCACACAGCTCAAGTCCTGGTTGGTGGCACACTTGCAAGATTCATCAGCTGCAAGAGATGGGTTCCACTGCTGCCATCTCTCGCTCCATTTTCTTGTCTACAACACTCACAAATTTGTTTCCTCTTACATAAAACCTGAGAGGTTTCTGTGACCATTCCCCTCTGTTCCCAATACCAATCCTGGTTGTGGCTACCACGTCCTGCTCCCTGGGCAGCTCCTGTCCAGGCACCATCCAGATGGCCGCGTCTTGAGTCAGGTCCCTTTGGTCAAAAGCCTTATCAATCCCAAATGCTTGGCAGAGCTTGGAGGGCCCATTACACAGCTGCCAGTCCTTCAGTGGCTTTGCAGGTCCTTTCCTTGAAGTGCTGCGCAGCTCCCTCATCACATCCAAACCCTGGAGAGGCTCCAGAGAGCGGAGTAAGACTGCAGCCCCTTCCCCTGTGCAGAAAAAGAGCCACGTGTTAGTACAGGTTTGTTTGGAAGGAATATCTCAGCAAAAGCACTTCAGTTGCATTCCCTGCCCCTGGCAGAGCAGGGAGTTGCCTGCAGCATCTGTGCTTCCCTCAGACTGCTAAGCCGTGGTCAGTGCACTCCCTCCCCTATGCTGAATGTCCAGCATCCCACAGCTCTGTGTACTTGATTCACCTCACCCAGCCCCACTTCCTGATGTTCCTAGGCCAAGCTGCAGCTCCAAGGCTTGCCAGAGGGCAAGAGGTTTTTCTTATATCACCACGATGTTGAGGAATAAATACACATATGGCTCAGTTTTGGCGTAACTATCCAAAACTGCTCCCAAACCCAGTGGATTTATAATAAACTCTGATGATAAGGTCTCCAGCCAGCAAATGAGAGGAGAAAGAAGTCGAGATGCTGCCAACAGAACGAGGCAGAGCTGGACTGGAGGAGAGCTTCTGGCATGAAGCTGTGGGCTGGGGAGCAGCTGGGCCGCTCTGAAGGAGCCCTGGGTGGAAGCATTACTGATCCAAGTGACGGGCTGAGGTGTGGGTGTGACAAACACGGCCTTGGGTGATACAGAGGAGCGAGGTCAGCGTCCTCGTGCCAGGGAAGCTCTTGTGAGATGGGTGCTGGGGTAGCAGGGGGCTGCACAGCCCTGGGAGCATCGCTTCAGCAGGGACAGCCCCACCTGTGACAAGAAGTGAAGAAAACTCCTACTTTCTTCTCCAGTGTGATTCATCACCCTGCCAGGAAGGAGCCTAGGAACTTATGGCTCCCCACAGCCACCGTGACCAGCTGCTCCCCCTCATTTTGGTGAGGGCGAAGCAACGAGGCAGCTCTGAGCAGAGAAAATCCCCTGCAAGGAGGATTTCCAGCCCAAGTGGGACAGGAATACTTCTCCAGTATTTTCCATCGGGAAGCGGGGAAGGTCTTCGTCTGACCCTGAGTGGGAGAGGTGAGGGCCTGGCAATGCAGCCTGTGTGCTGCCCCACACAGTGCTTGTTGTGCGGGGCTGCCCACGGCATTCCTCCCCTCCGCCTCAGCACTGGGGATGCTGCTCTGCAAGGACTTCCTTTCCCTCTCCAGCCGCAAACATCTGGAGCTGTGCTCAAGCCTGGCAAAGGCTGTTGTAGCCCAGCAGATCCCCAGGGACCCGCAATTCCCCAAAATAGAATCCCTCTCCTATTTTGTAAAGTGCCACAACAAGCCGCTCTCAGCTCACAAACTGAAAGCCTGATCTCTTGCTGTTGCCAGGTGTGCCCCCTGCTTTGCACTGCTCAGAGCCCCCCTGCCCTCTGCACAGCTCTGTGAAGCAAACACTTCCAACAGCTGTCCACAATCTGTTTGCAGGCACTCCCTTTGCTAAGGAAGGGAATGAGGCTAATCTGGAAGCCAAAAGCTGCTACAGTGATTTAGAGCTCAAAGGTCATTTTAGATTTTTAAGAACATCCTCCACGTCCTAGTTCTGCTTTTCATCCATGCACACAGAAATATCCTTCACGTTGGGATGCTCTCACCAACTGTGAGATTCTGAGGAACTGCTAATTAAACTCCTTGCCCTCATCCATCACAAATGCAAGTAGAAACTGCGGGCACTTGAATTCGAGTGTCCTTGTGAGCTGATGTGAATAAAGGCACATGCTGAGAGCAGCTGCAGCGCTCCCAGACCCCCACGCAGCAGGAGCAGGGTACCTGGCATTTGTCTCTGGCTGCTCTGTGAGCATTTCCACTGGAAAGCTTTCCAACTCTTTCTAGCTGTGTGCAGAACAGATGAGAGTTAGAGCAAGACCGCCAGGGGAAGACAGGAGCTCAGGGATGCCACAGTGAGCTACTGCTTTCTCTGCCCACCTCCTCCAGAGGTGGACGTTTGGGACCTCCTGAGGGTGCTTGCACATCAGTTTTCTTTAACCACTAACCAGGAGCTGCATCCTTCTGGCTCACCTCCTGCCTGTCAGGGTGCTGCAGCCTTCTCTGTGCAGCCTTCTCTGTGCAGCCTGCTCTGTGCAGCCTGCTCTGTGCAGCCTGCCCAGCTTGCTCCCAGGGCTACCTGCCTTCAGCACTGCCTGACACAGACACTGCTGCTGCCATTGCTGTTGGCAGCAGTGCCCATCCTGTGCTCCAGCCCAGAAGCACCCACACATTGCCTCCCACACCTAGCAGAGTCGCTCCATGTAAGGAGTAGATTTAGAGCTGAAAGCTGGGATCTGACAACAAGGAAGAGGCTGGTTCTGTCCTTGGGCAGTCAGGAATCACAGAACGATAAGGAAGTCCCACACCCGCGCTGCGCTGCTCGCTTCTCCTTCCCTGGACTGAGTCCAGCTCTCACTCTTGGAAACAGCTCTTGGCCGCTGGAGAGAAGAAAATTTTCTCCTCTCTCCACCCATCTGACTCACTGCTCCCAAAACACTTCCTTCAAAGTCCCGCTCTGGGATCCCCGCTGTGTGACCCCACGCCTGGGTACAGAAGCACCGGGATCCCCATTTTACAAGAGATTACTTCAGGTCTGGCAGCAAAACGCTCACACTGGCAAACTCCTGACAAACAAACCACAGCAAAGTCAAAGAGAAGCTCGACCAGCAATTGCTGCCTTCCTGAAGCGAGGGAAGCCCAGTGTGTCTCTCAGCTCTTGGGAAGCATCTCTGTGCTAAGATGATTCTGCTGCCAGCACCAAGATGCGCTGTGGGACCCATGTGCACTGAGACACTGGGTACATTTTGCTATCATTTAGGATTTCTCCTCGAAGCAATGTAGAGAGACACAGCATGGCTACCAGCAGCAAGAGGAAGGCCCCTTCCAGTAAAATCCCATAGGACTCAGCTTTACCTCAATGATGTACACAAAGATCCCCCTTCTTCCCTTTATTATTTGCCAGTATTTCAAATGCTGAGAGCCCCGTTTTGAACAAAGAATCATTCTGCTTTCATTATCTGAACAGCTTTGGCAGAGACGTGGTAATGCAGTTCACATGTGTTCATCCATCAGACTCCAGACTTCCACTTAGGAAGACAGGCTCTTTCCCCACACTATTACCTGGCTACCTTCCAAAGGCCAAAACCAGAGGGCTAATGGTCATCATCACAACGCATTCTGCTGTGGAATATACAACATGCTGTATCTTGGAAATGGTGGAAAAGAGTTTTTTGAGATTTTTCAAACAAAATCAGTGTTTAAGGAACACATACTGCAGCTTCAAGGTACGTAATTACATTCTTTTTCTGAGGCAAAAACTATCATCTGTAAGGAAAACAACACCTGCTTGTTAAAAGGAGAATCATTTGATTAAAGATTGGTTTTATTATCATGAGAGCAATAAAGGAGGATTGCAGATCCTGTCACAGCCTGCTTTTGAGATTTTCTTTTTTAGTTTTCTTGAAGATAAAGCAAAGCAGCTAAAAAGCTTCTGTAGCAACTCAGATATTAATGCTCAGACATGTTAGACCTTTTTGTTTTCCTTGGCGTTTAGTTTCTGGGGATAAAGGCAGGAGACAGAAAACTTTCTTCTCCTGACAGTGGACACCAAGATTTAGACTTTCACTAGACTGCAAGTTTCTTTTCACACCACCACCTGGAAGGAAGGTGCTCTGCATCACACGGATAAGGCATCGGCTCAGGTCATCCAAACTGAAAGCACCATCCTGTAAAGATTCCCTTCCAGTCCTTCATCTTTATTTCTGCATCTGAACAGCTCAAGGAACTCACAGCTGGGACCAGAATCCCACCTGGCCGTGTAGCCAGAGATGGCCCTGCTCATAGTGTTTGAAGCTGACACATAGGCACCGTGCTTTGGCCTCAACTCACCTTGGCTGGAAACGTTCACGCAGAAATAAATCCCATAGATCTGGTACACGTACAGAGTTCCTGGTTTCATGAACATGGCTGCATTCCGTTGAGTTTGCTTCCCACCTTTTGAGTGAGAAGCCTCATCTTCCCCACCAAGATAAGCTTCTGTTTCAACAATCCTCCCCCAGAGCTCCCTGCCGTCGGGAAGTTTGCGAACTAGAATCTGGAACAGGTCAGAGGGCATCGTTAGCAACAGCCCCTGTGCCAAGTAAGCAGAGCACAAGGCTTCTTGAGGCAAAGTCATCAGAAAAAGGGCCCTTAGGCAGTGCCCGCTCTCCTCTCACTCTCTGAATGCAGTCTGTAAGCTGAACGATTCCCATTTCAACTGTCTGGACCACATCCCAGTACACCAAGTTTCTACCTATCGTTCACCCAGCAAAATGCTCGGGGTGCAAAGCTGTGGCAGTATCGTACAGAATTAATGTATGACCACGTGTACAACAAAGCAGCAATCTGCACAGCCCACAGAACTGCTTCTGTGGTTCTTTTCTGCATTCTCACCCCAAACCACCAGGACAGCAACTGCAGTGATTGCACAGACCCTTGGAGGTGTTTCAGAAAAGTGCTGGCTCCTAACTTTAGAGATAACCATAATTGAAACATCAGTGCTGCTTCTGTGTTTTCTGCACCGTGTAGAGGAGCAGGGCAGCAGTGCAGGTAACTGGCCTGGGGCAGAAAAAGCAGGTCTTTGTCACTGCAGCGTGCTCCTCCTCGCTGCCAGCTCCTTAATAAAGCCAAGTAGATGAGGAAAGGAAAAATAAACAGCCACAAGTCTGAAAAGATTCTCCTGAAGAAAATAAAACAATGAGTGACTCCTTACAAAGCTGCAATTCCTGCCTCTCATGCTTCACCCACAGTATTTCCCAATTAATTGAAAACATCAGTATTTTATTGTTGTGAAAAACAATGACTTCAGAAAAGTACTGGTGCATGTGAATACTCCAAAAGCACTCTCAGTACAATGAAAAGCAGTGGTAAGGTTACAGTTTTAAGGGTATGCAGGCATTTCCCTGCCTCTTCTGACAACATATCTGCAGCTGAAACAGTTAAATGCAATAAGTAATACTAGTGCAGAAAGCACCTCCAAGATCTGGCAGAACAAAGATAACAAAACACTGAATTATTATTATTATAACTGCAGTTACATGAGAACAAGAGCACAGATTGGGTCACAGGAGGACCTAAGTTATACTTCAAAGAAAATGTTACAGTGACATCGAATTTGCCTGGTTTGTAATTCTAGGCCTAAAGAGGAAGAGGATCGAACTAGGAGTAAAGTATTATCTGCCTATTTAACATCTGAGGATGTTAAAGACATTGAGACACCAAAAAATGCATTAGTGCAGCTTCAGGTGTCTTCATACACAGCAAGCAAATCTCACAGTGCAATGGGACACAGACTGTATCTTCCAGACACCGAAAAGTGCTTTGCAGAGTCAGTAATCAGGGACCTCCCAAGAGAAAACAAAGCTCTCAAACTGATCCAAACTCTTCGCCAAAGACTCAGCACTGAAAAACAACTTTGTGTCATGACCATGAAGCCTAAAATTCAGGATCCTTACACAAGTATTAAGGTCCAAAAATAATCTGTTACAGTATTGCTTATCAGCAAAAAAGGAAACTACATAAAACAAGGAAGCTTGTTAAGAACTTAAAAGAGACAGCCAGAAGTCAAAGCAGGAAAGGCAAACTTCTAGCAGGATGTCTATAAAGAGAGAAAATACATTTGATGTATAGGAGAGAGGTTGAGAAAGACCAAAAATAAACACAGCAGGAGCAAAGCAGAGCAAAGGTGTCCACTACATGCAAGACAATATCCTTCAGAAGTAAAACCAAGGGTAGACCCAGAGATACAGCCCAAAACAAAGTTACTGCAACAAATTCCTGAAGTATCTAAAGCAAAGAGAGCCCAGGAAGTTTCTTCACCCTACAAGTAATAAAAATATAAAGAGGACTCAGAAAAGGTAAGATCACAGCACTGGTACTAAAAACACATTTTGCAATTGTGTTTACAAGGTTCCCAGACTCAAAACTGTTTACAGGGACAACACTGGAGGAACTCTCTGAAATGAGAGCTTTCTGAAGGACTCGCTGAGCAGAAGAGACAGTTTAGCTCCCCTCCTCCCTAAGGCTGGGTCCAAAGATTCCTCAGCATTTCTGCGTTGGCAAAAGGGAGGAGGTCCTTTCATGAACAGGTGATGACTTAAAACCTCAGGAACTGAAGGTAGAGAGAACAGGTTTCAGAGTGAACAGAGTTTAACTGCAGAGCTGTGGAGTCCCAGAGGCCTCCATGCCAGGGCCTGTGCTGCCTCACATATTTCTGTTCATAATGTGGGAGAGGTGAGCACCAGCTCTACTGGTAAGCCTGAATTATTCAGAACTGCAAAAATAAAAGAAGGCAGATGGAGCTTTTAGAGCACACAAGGCAGCATAAAGGAAAGTATCAAGCAGGCTGCTGAACTGCCAGGTGAGAAGAAAGTATGTCAGTACACTACGACAGGGGATATCAGTCAAAAAAGGCCAAGGACCTGCTATTAGCATCACGAGGTAATCAAATGGAGGGAGAGGAGGAAATGATGTGGCTGCACAGCATTACCTTCCAGTGGGAAAACCAGGAGCCAAAAACAAATACAGAAGTACCTGAAGGGAAAATAATTGGCCTTAAACAACCTTCAAACCACGAACAGCAAAGTGTGTTTCAGTAAGCCAGAAAAAAAGGAGGAACTCCACAAAAAATAAACTAATTCTGAAGTGCGACAGCAAATTAAACCTAAACAATTACCTCTGTGACTACATCCAAAATAGATTTAATCACTAGTCTTCAATTTAACAGAATTTTACAAGAAAAATAATGAGAACAGTACTCCTGAAATAGCAGAGCCCCAGAGGCAAACTGCAAAAAGAAAAAGATCATCCCTTTACATTAAATTATTGTACTGCAGCATGTAGAGCTGGTGTCAGTGTTATGGCTTACCTGTCCCAGGAAGGATTTGGCCAGGCTGATACAGGGCTGGTTGAAGAAATCTGCTTCCAGTTGGGAAGATTGTTTTTTCTCTGTTACAAAATATTTGCTGCTTGTTGGAGAAGAGTTGCCATCAGGAATTGTGGTGGGGCTCTTCAAGGCATCAGAAAGAGGGATGCTGGAGTTGCTTTGGAGGGCGCTTAATTGAGCCAACAGCTTTCTTTTCCTTGACATAGTGCTAGGAAATAAATGCAAACATATTTGGAAATGTAAAGATTATTTTAAAGTAATTCATTTCCACGAATTCTTATTTTCAATACAAAGGCTCTGAAAGCTATTACTGATTAGACAGTGCAGGCAAAGCACAGGAGCAGGTGACATGCAGCTGGATTTACGCCAGGCTAGGCAAATATTGGGCTCTACTGACATGCAAACAGAATACTGCAGTTTGAGCTTTCATCTTCTAAGGGCTTAAGATAACAATAAACTCTGGTCCACGTAGCAGTAAAAATATGTTTGCTAACTGTTAGGTTAGGAAATACGAAAGCAAAGGTAAACCTGTACCATCTTCTTTCCACTGAGAACTTAAATAATCTATTAAGCAGACAAAAGAGAATATGAAAACACTTCTAAAAGTGCTGGTTCAAAAAGTTCACAGAAGTGACATATCAATCATTTCAAATAGTGATGTAATGGGTAAGAATCCAAATCTCCATGGGACGCAGAACGCTGGAGCTGGGAGCTGCCTGATTTACGGTCACTGTCAAGCTTGTCACGCTGCAGAAATGAGTGCACTGAGACCTCCACAAAGCAAGGCTTCAGCTCACCTACCAAAGAGATGAAGAACAGTGTGTTCCAAACTACAGAACGTATCTGTGACAACTGCATAACCTGAAGTTGTTCTTCCAGGTTCCTCACCAATGTGCTGGCTTCAGAAAGTTGGTGTGTCTTTTTCTGTGCTGCAGTCCTTACTCTTGTCAAACCAGAACAAACTCATTCTATAAAGCTCTTTGAAATGTCTGCTGGCTAACAGCACAGTGTGGAAGCTGGGGGTGATGGATTAGCACTGAGGCTGCAACCAGCTTTGGTTGGAGGTATTTTAGTGCAACATCTGCATTCTGTATTGCAATAATTCAGCCATGTCAGAGACTTGCCATAGAATTGCCAACTCCATGTCAGGTGTTCTGCTCCACTCTATAGCTTTCACTTTGTGGCAACTCCTAAAAATGTCACTAGAAGCCACTTACCTCGCTCAGACTCAATTACATGATGGCCTTTGCAAATATGAGTCCTGTCTGGGAAGGAAGATGTGAACAGCAGAAAGTTCAGGAAGGAAGGGACAAAAGAGGAACACTTCTCCATATAGGCTAACTTCTAAAAAGTCAACCAAGTGAATGTTTCCTGCTAAAAACTGCTTCCAGGCTTCTCTGACAGCATTAACTGGAACTACATGAAGACACGCTGAAAACGTAACCCATCTGTGTGAGCATGAACTGCATTGGTAATTCATGCTTTTATGGAGTGCAGCATCAGACACAGGACCTGAGCTGCCCGACACCTGCTGCCCTTGCAGTTAAGTTGTTCTTAGAGGATACGAGTGCTCTTACACAAACATTACACTGGCAGCCCAAGGGCACTTGTAATGTCATTGCTATAGGCTGATCCTGCACAGACCTCAGCATCTTCACCTCTCATTAGAGGCAGCAGTAGGATACTGCCTTCTAGTCATGAGAAATTCAGAGCCTACAATATGAGATTGCTTTAAAAGCAATAACAGAGTGAAGGGAATGCAATACTGTCTCAGAAATCCAGAAAAGCCCCAATGCATGCTTTGTGCTTGCCCATGCCATGATACAAGACATAAAACTCTATGCCTCAAAGCCTATCTGCTTTTTCTATAAAGAATGTTACCTGTATGTACAAATCCCTTCTTGCATAGGAAGAAACACAGTGTAGGCATCAGTGCATTTCAAGTACCCAAGCCCTATTTATTTGGGAAGTAAGAGACACCATCTCTTCACATGCAGGTCTGCAGACAAATCCCACGGCCTTGAGGCTGTGTGCCCCCAAATAAGAACCAGCTGTGGATTCATTCCATTTTTACTAATTCTGTTGTAACCAAACCTGCTGCTAGTTGTGAAGCACCTGTGTGCACACACATAAAGAAGCAGAGAAGTCAGAAGAGAAAGATTAAGAACTGAACAGGCTCTGTGCAGTGCCTGAAGTGTTCAGGCCTGCTGGGCTATTCTCAGACAATTGTTTAGGGCCCCTGTAAGCCAGAATCAGAAACACTGAAACTGATGTAAAAATACAGTGTATGCAAGGCTACATTGCCACTTCTGGGGAAACAATTCCTTTACAATTCCCAGCTGTACAGATTTGTATATACAAATAGCACAGCGGGCAAAACCAAAGTACATTTCTTCCTGCATCCTGCTCTCATCACAGGTCAAAAGCAGAAGGCAAGGAAAGAATAGAAGGAACACACAGTGCTTCTCCAAGCGTCCTCCACACCTCTGGCCAGAGACCTTTGAAGCAAGCACAGCTCCATGTGCTTCATAACCATGAGCTCTATCCAGTGGTCCTCTGAACCAAGGTAACATCACCCAACCACACTGCAACAACCACCACTTACCTACACCCTGCTACACGTTCCCTTAAGGAGTTCTGAGCCTGCCTCTCGCAAATGCAGTTTGGTTCTCCCTACTTCTTATATTTGCAAGAGACGTGGTAAAGCATGCCTTGCCTTTACTGAAGAAGAAGGCATCACAGAAGTAGTCATTGCACTCGTTTTGTGTGTGAAATCAGGACTGCTCCCCGGCCACATGAATCAGTTTGCATTTACAATTCACCAGTCACCCTTCCTCTTCACCTCCTAAAATAATGTTAAACCAGCTGGAAACATTGTGACAGTCAGCACCGTGCCCCTTTTCCAGGTCACTGCAAAATGTTGCTCAGCACATCCTTGCAGCACTCTAGAGGTGACCTCCACTCTGAAGGCTGCCTATTTACTCACACCCTCTCTCCTATCTTTGCACAGTGTTTAGGATGGGAATCATCTTATTGAGGCAGGAGTTGCTCACACTGAACCAGAGGGCTGCAGCCATCTCTCTGGAGAACAGTGTGAGGAGAGGCAGAAAAACCTTCCTGAAAGAAGAGTGCAGGCAGGGGTTGATAACTGTAATCACAAATACTACATCAGTTTCTTCGGAGGCAGACTTTGATAGTATTTGCAATCCTACTCATACCCCCAAAGGATGGTAAAATAAACAATGACTGTATACACCTTACTGAGTGCTCTGTAGGTCTGGCAATGTCATTTCCTGCACAGAGTCCTTCCAGCTCCAGTCTATGCTCCTACTGCCTGCTGGACGTCCTGAGCTTTTCAGAGTGAAAAATAATCATCCTTTTGTGAAGACTAAAGAAGATACAAATTGAGAGAAAGCAATGAAACATCATGAAGAAAAAAAAATCCCTCATCAAAATTCCACTTAATTTTGGCTGACTTTCTTAAGTCCCTTTATTCTATCCTAATTCTTCCCCACCATTCTAGCAGTGTGACAAAGCTGCATGAAATGAAAGCACGCAAGTTAAGTATAATACTGGCAACGGATGTTAGTTAGCTCAGTCCCCAGAGACCCAAGTTAACCAAGCCATTATCAAGCAGCATTCAGTGAGGCCACAAACACTGACAGGCAGTTCCGTTTTCTGATGCACATCGACATCATGTGCAGCAAATGTCCTTTGGGAATGTCTGGCGAATCATCCAAAAAACTCTGAGTAATTTTTTTTCCACTTACATGACGGCACTGAAAACATGATTTGTAAAGTTCACTGAATGACCAAAGATGTCTTTCTCATTAATGCATTGATAAAAAGGAAAACCTGTGACTGAAACCCTCAAACATCCAGATAATATCCAGAGATATGATACTTAAGGGCTTCTGTTGAAGCACAGCAACTTAAGGACCAGGAGGAAAGGCACAGAGCACAAAGATTTACCCCCAGAAGCATCCTGGCGTTGCTCCCTGCATAAGAACAGAAGCAGAAGGTGCTCATGGTTCCTCCACAGCTCAAACCCACAAAGAGGATCTGCTGCATACCCAGTCCTACAGAGGAGTAACATCTGAAGTCCTATGAGAAAGTTTTGACAGGTAGGGGTATGGGACAGATAATTTCCTCCAGATTTCAGGCCAGCTTAACAAGTCTTAGTATTGAAGCCCTGCACAAACAGCCTGAACTCTCCAGCAAAACCAGATGCAGAAAATCAGTCATGAAACAAACTCAGTAACAGCCAAGATGCTGCTCTAGGAGATTCAACTGAGACGTTGAATCACACATGCTATGAACTTGTGTCTGTGAGTGAGAAAGTGCCTTTCTTCTATTTTCAGAGGAAAGATTTCCTACATTTAGTGATTTGGGATTAATCTGAATGGTTACAGGGAGAATATTTGTCTGTGTTTTGCATTGTATTACCAGACACAGTCAAATAATTAAAGTAAGAAAACAAAATACTGACTCGAGGCCTTAATGGATGATGATGTGCAGAGACACACTTGTAGATGCAGGTTAAGATGAACAGCTGATGTCCACCACAATAGCAAGCACCTTCAGAACCCCAGAACGAAGCCTTCAGGCTCTACATCAACACAGGATCTGAGGAGTGGGGACAATTTCCCTCACAGCTTTGGATCACATGCTGTATGTGAGCCTGCTACTGGTGAGACACAAAACTTCTGATGAGATAACACAGGAACAAAAGCTAACGCCTCTCCTATAACGAGACACTTCCAGGAAGCTATGAAATCACTGCTTACTGTAAAGGCTGTGAAAATCTGAGTCAAACACAGACGCGAACCAGCTGACCTCAAACGCTTTCCCTTTCACACGGCAATCTTATTTAGAAGAGATTTTCAAAGCGGATCTTCCAGTCAGATGGCATTCCTGTATTTGGGCATCTCTCCTCCTGAACGGGTCCAAATCCTGTCACTTCTGTGGCACATACACACCTGCACAGTGGTTGAACTTCCAGTGCTCAGCTACAAGATCCCTCTTCTCTGAGATCTCTGCACCACCTGTCACTGACTCCACAGCCTTTCACCTAACGCACAGGCAGGCCAAAGGAAGCTCCCTGCAGAACAGGAGCAATGTGACAGGAAACCACAGTGCAGCCTTATTCAAAATGCACGTGTACACATTACTGCACGGCTCGTCAGGCCGCGTTCCGCCCAGCCCGAATGTATGCACACAGTGGGGACGGGCGGTAGGAGATTCGTGACCCTTGAGGTCCCTTCCAACCCTGGCCATTCTGTGATTCTCAGCGTCCATTACAGCCTTTGCAACATCGCTGACTCACAGCACACAGAAAATAAGGTTTTAGAGGAGCGATGCTTGAGGTCGCAGCCCTGTAACGTGGAAACAAACAGCACCGATAACCGCGCCGACAGCTGGGTGAGACCTCGCAGCCTTTTTGACGACAAACCCCGACGCATTCGCCGTTCCTGCCGGCACAAAAGAGCAGCCAGGGCCGCGCTGAGAACAGCCCAGAAGCGCACGGCTCTCACACCGCAGGACGCGTTTACACTCCAATGCCCGGCCCGCCGACACCCGCTCGGCCCACCCGGGGCGCAGAGAGGACAAGGGCTCCCCGGGACGCCCCGCACCCCGCCGGGCCTCGCTGCGGCCTGCAGGCGGCCCAGCCGCGCCGCGCACGCACCTACCGGGCCGCGCTCCGCCGTTGGGCGCAGCCGGGCGGGGCGGGGCGGGCTGCGGCAGGGCGGGCTGCTGAGGGGAGCCGCCTCCCTTCGCACGGCTGGGCCTCGGGCCGCGGCGGCCTGCGTGGAAGGGCGGCCGCGTATTGGCTTTCCTCGGCTTGTGCAGCGTTCTGCGCGTTTTTGGTTTTGCCTCATCATCGCCTCTGCAGCACGCTGCTCTCTCCTATGAATAAAGCTCAGGGCCACAGGCCGACTTTACAGAGGGCTCCCTGAACGAGTGCCTGCAGGAGATTCTCGGCTTTTACCCAGATGAGCGCAAGCTCAAAACGCAGCTTTCCTCGTCGCGTTCCGGAGACACGCAGCTGGGGCTGTTGGTTCCTAAGTGATTCCTACAGTAAAATGTCCTAACGATACTTAGCACTGTGCCAGTTGTGCGGGGTGTGCAGGAGGCAGCCGTGCCAAGAAGCAGCATTTAGCATCATCTAATTCATAAACTTGCGGGTAGTTATCTCCCAGTATAGGAAGGAGGGAGTTGCTGGGTTGGTTTTTACTTGGTTCACTTCCAACTGTTACTACATCGAAAGTTCTCCATGCAACACCCTGTGCTTGCTTTATTTTCTTCATGCTTTACTCATCAGTGGTCCAAGAAAGGGAAGAAAAGTTATGGACGTTTTAATTGGAGATCTGTGCAGCGCTTTGTTTTGCTAAAATGGACGCAGATAAGCTCACAATAGTTAGAATTCCTTGGGGAGATGTTATTGTCTGGCTGCACTTTGCTTCAGTCTGAAATCAGTTTCTTGTGCTATTAGCAAAGAAATCAGGACATGTAAAAAAAAAAAAAGAAAGAAAAAAAAGTGTAAGTAGTGTTGACTGAGTTCTCCAGAATTCTGAAAATTCTCCAGAAGGGCTTTGTTAGCATCTTGGACCCCCTCACTCACATGGTTAACATCCAGCCTTAATGTTGTGTTAATCTAAGAAGGAAGGCCAAGAATGTGTACGGAAAGGTGGACAGCCAATCATCAAATTGGCCTTTCAGCAAATCCTGAAAATTCAAGGCAAAACGAGGCAAGAATGAGAGATGTGGGAAGGACTTCCTGGGGTCAGAGCAGTTCAGCTCTGCAGACTTTCTCCTATGGGAATCTGTGGGACAGGCACTGTGAGCAATGCTGACTTCTTTGATGGCAGATCTGTTTCATGCCCAGAGGAAGTATTCCAAGCTTTTAGCACCTGAGGAATGTGAATCATTCAAAGCTACAGTGTATACCGTGTTCTTCATTTGTCCAATAACTTCACTATTACAGAATCAACACCTAAAATAGCCTCCTGTAAAAGCTGATTAGTTTGAGAAGATTAAAGGGAAGATTAAAGTTTCCCCCTCTATTGGGCAAAAGCATTTTTTATGTTTTCCTTGAAAGAAATGGAGTCCACTGTTGGAAAATCTGGCTATTGGAGTCCTGGGCTCTGTGGCACACTGCCTGTGTACAGTGCCTGCAAACTGGTTCTCCCCAGCTTCCAGGATGTGCAGACAGCAGATCAGCATGAAAGCAGAAGAAAGCTTAAGGGGCAGATGTCCAAATTTTTTCATCGTGTAAGATGCCAAAATTTTCGTGATATTTGTGGAAATGGGATTTAGTGTTCAATTAGAAGGACACACGAAGTCAGTTCCCCACAGTGATGCTGACTGGTCACTTGCTGTGGCCACATAACTCTCACCAGGATTTGCAAGTCAGCTGCAAAATGTAATGGGCCACCTATTGGTGGATGAAGAAGTTCCAAACAGCATAGGGATTTTATGACATCCACTCCTGGCCTCCCATGACATCCAGTCTTGGTTGCTGCTGCCTCCTTCGCTTCAATTCTCAGTGTGTCTTGTTCAGAGCTATTCCCAGCCAGTGCATTAGAGGTATGTACACATGGTCCTCAAATTAGTACCAGAGCTATCCGGCTACTGAGAGAAAGGCTCATAGCCACTTTGGTATCTCCCACACCCAAGCTGGGCCATGGATCAAATATCTAGTTCTGTGAACCAAGCCCATTCAACTTGTTATGTAAGCAGATGTGCATGCTTTATTCTAAATTTGGTGACATCCATGATGGATGCCATTCCACCCACTTTGTACTCGGAGTGCAAAGAATCCTAGCAAGTGCATTGCTTGTAATGGGAAAACAGAATATTAACAGACCTCCTGGGAACCTCAGCTCTGGGCCAGAGAGGGCAGGCAAGTCTTATTTAGTAACATATTAATGGATTTTATTGGGTCTCTATTTTTGTTTTGGATACAGGACATTTTGGTTCTCTGACATGACAGAAATGTTTTGCTTTACAGGATCACTCAATGCAGAGGAACAAATAGAAAAAAAACAAGCAGGCCGGTCTGCTGGGTTTTGGTGGTGTTGATGCGCCTGGGATCTCTCCCAGCTGCATGGGGCAGGACTGGTGGGAAGCTGGAGACAGAGACCAAAAGGTCTGCTGAACTGACTGGATGTTGGGAGACATGAGATGGAGCTGCCACAGGCCAGCAGCCAGGCTTTTCTAAAAACTGCATTTTCTTTTCTGAAGGTGTTAAAGATGGTTTATTCAGTGTTGCCTAAATCAGTAGAAGTCGTACTGCATGCTTGACTTATAAATATAGTGGGAAGGAACTGTGTACATGCATATGCATGTATGTATGTGTATGTATGTATGTTAAGT